GTAGACTATTCAGACTGAATTGGGAAAGGCTTATTGGCAGCAATAGGAGGAATCTAACCTTCAAATATTCATTCTGCTAACTCAGAATACCTGCTCAAATTTCAATTCAATAAATATGTGCCATGCAGCAAGTTAGGCTTCAGCAACCTTCAGAGTTCCTTCAGAGTTCCCACACTGGTGGGAAACAGAAGCAAATGCAAAAAATTCAGGACACTGGAAGCAGTGTCCTGGAAAATTCCAAAGTGTTTTCGTCTTATTTTATGTTGCTGTATTGCTGGGGTGCATTTTAGTAACTGGATGGCAGCAGAAAGGATTTGCAAGAAGTAATTTTAGGGTGCTCGAAATTAACCCTAATAGTCATTTCTAGAACTCCATTCTTCACAGAACGGGTGTCTTCATTTTCCCTCAGCTTCCGTCCTCAGTCCTGATGTAAAAAGTAATATTTAAATACGATCAAAGAAATTATCCAAGAAACACATATTTGGCCCGGTAAGAAGGCTGCTAAGGTTTAGAATTAGAATCTCAAATAGATCCTTTAGAATCCCCACTCAGTAGAAAAAAGAGGGTGAATAGATGCAAGGAAGCCAGACTGGGCAGTCTATGACACTATCTTGGTCAAAGATTGGACACCCAGGGGATGAAGCCCTGCTCTACTTCAAGGTAATCACATTCAAGGCTGAGGAAGAATATATTGCTTCTGTCAAGACAATTACCTAGAACTGTAACACTTGGAATCATTTTTCTGCAAGCATAAGCTGCAACACTTTAGATTGCGATGGATCTTAAAGGTCCCTTTGCCTGTGTGTGTGTGTGTGTGTGTTTGTGTGTATGTGTGTGTGTGTGTTTTAAAAACAGTCTAGCTCTGCTGTCCAGGCTGCAGTGCAGGGGTGCAAACACAGCTCACGGGAGCCTTGACCTCCTGGGCTCAAGTGATCCTCCCACCTCAGCCTCCCAAAGTGCTGGAACTATAGGTGCATGCCACCATGCCTGGTCCCCCTTCACCCTTTTGGCTAACATGAAGTCACCTAACCTGGAAGCCCACATATCTTGGCACAATGGGATCTCATTTCAACACAGCATGGGGGCTCTGAGACAGAGGGGAGGATCTGACTCAAGTATAACCATGCGCCCATTCTCCAAGAACATTAGTAGCTGTGGTGGGCTACATACAGCAGGTGGTCACACTAGACCTGATCCGGCCAGCTTCCACTTTAATAAGGGCTGCGTGTGTGTGTGTGTGTGTGTGTGTGTGTGTGTGTGTGTGCTGGTTTCCTTCCTGGCCTTCCATAATGGAAAGATGGAGAATGAGGGTTGTGGAACGGGGTGCAGCACGTTGCAGGGGAAGATGCCTGGGTCCCAGCTCCAGTTCATCAGCGGTGCCAAGTCACTCCTCATCTCCGGGTCTTTGTGTCTCTATCCCCACTTCATATCAATATCTGACCCTCTGTGGGCACAACAGGGACTGCAGTTTGCTCCAAATCAGAGCTGCAGCATGGGTGCCCCATAAATACAAGTATGCAGCACTTACACACATGCTTTCATTCCCTTCCCTTGATAACGCTGCCCATGGAGGCAGCAGTCTATCCCATGTAGTTTACCTCCATGGGCAACATAATCAAGACTAAAGTCGGGGGTTTTGTTTCTATCCCTACATTCCAGCTCTGCTTCTATTAGGCTGTGGAGGGGATTAGGGAGAAGGGACTTGGTTTAATCAGATGCAAATGCAGAGAAAACTTTAGAAATCATACTGAATGACATAGAGAAAGGCTTGGTTTTTTTAAAAGATTTTTTTCTCACTCTAAAAAGAATTCCTTTTAACACACTGAAACATTCAAAATTCTACTCAAAACTCAGTTTTAGTATTATCAAACTTAAACAGCGTCTACAATGTGCTGTTCCTGAAGTGTCACTCCTGACATTTAGTGTGATACCCTGTCATTAAGTCAGCAGACTTGAAAGATGTGGGGGTTTTCAGTGTATAAAGAAATAATGCTGAGGATCATAACACTATAGTTTCATCCCCCATTCTCAAAAGCACTTTGCTGCTAATCACATTAATCCTTATAATTTCCATGATAATAGACCCAGATCAGTGTTTTGTGAGTAGGGGTGGGTAGGTGGGGCAAGATTTCCTTGGGATCGTGGGAAAAAGAGTGACTACTGAGTTCTGAACCAGGAGTTAGGCTGCGGGAAGAGCAGCAACTCTAAGATACTTGAAAGGGGGTGCCTTGCCATCTTTCAACTTGAGCCACCTCTCCTGGCTCTCTCCCTGTTTAATAGATGCTGTCAGGTCAAGAAGAGGAACAGTAAGCTTCGGGAGGAACTTGGAAAGTGACATAGAGCCTAGCCAATGACTGGAGTCCCAAGAACGTGGCAGAGAATCAGGAAATAAAAAAGCTGCGGAAACGTTGGATGTGATTATAAAGCACACAGACTAATCGGACAAAGATACAGATGCAGGCTAAAGCATATGAATGAGGGATGCTATCACGATCCCACGAACACTACTGAATAATGATGTCTCCTTGGGAATCGTCAAACCTGATTGGAAGATCAGGATTTTTTAAGTCTCTCATTGAATTTTTGTCACATGCCTTTTTTTTTAAATCAAAATACCCATCAGTGCATTTGATCCCTCCTACTGTGTATCATTTCTAAATGAACTTTTGTAGTTAAAAACAAAAACACATCTCCCCCTAAAGGATGACTGGGTACCAGGAAGACTGTTCAAAATAGTATTTCAAAGATTCCTCAGTTATTTCAACCAAAGGTCTGCAGCCTCCCTAAGTTTGGGCAGCATATTTGGAAAAAGAACACTAAAGGAATGGCAACTATTCTACAAGGAACCAGACTCCCTTGGAGACAAATGTTGTTTGTCCAGAAAGGAAGGGTATGGGTTTTATGTTTTGCGGGGAGGGGTGGAAGGTTTGGGGAAGGAGTGCAGAAAGCAATAATAAAAAGCTCTTATGGTTACCACGTAGAGGAGGTATAGTGCTCCTCCTTCTATACACCCTGTTTTGCATTGTCACAATGGACTGGATTCAACTTTTAAAATTCTGGATATTTTTTAGTTGGTGCATGGGTAAGTAAATTATCTTCAATTGCAACATAAACATGTTTATCTTTGACAATAAAACATTTCCAAGGGGTTTAAATGTACATTATTCTCAAGGAAACTGCCTCAGTGGTCCTAGTTTTCACTAAATAGACCTCATTCCCTTTGAAAAATCAGTGTTCTATATCTCTTTGTAAATACAGGTCCTACATGTATTGAATTCCAACTGTTGAGAGACAGTTTTCCATGGATCTCTCATGTTTCTGCACACCTGTGATCAGAGACACACAAGCTTTTGTTCTAGACTATCTTTTCAAGGGTGTCTGTATAGCAAACAGCCTTGGAAGGCAGTGTCTCCCTCCCAGAAAGAGGGCGAGTTTGTTTGCTGTCCGGGATAATAAGATCAGACAGGGTTGCTTGAAGGCCCTTGACAGGGTTAGGTCTCCCAAGCTTGGAGTTCCTCAGCTGTGATATGAACAGCATCTGCCTGGCCACTCCGCATCGCCTCCATGGGAATTTGGGGGACAACAGGAACAGATGGGGAACATGAAGCTCATGCCGCCTACTGTGCCTCTGTCTTTGGAGTCCTCTGTTTTGTCAGCATCCATGACACTGGCAGGTTAACTTGTTAGCTTGCATGTAAAAACTCTGGACTCTTAATAGCTGACACCTATCAAGCAAACAGATTAGATTTTGTAGAGTTAAGGAATTTCCATGTCCTATTTGTCCACCTCTCTCAAGCAAACAAATGCAAATTGCAATTCCAGCACATTGAATACATATGGATTGTCTTTTGGAGTTGGTTGCAAAGGGACTTAATGTTTCCAGACAGTAAATTTAATGGGTTGAAGGACACACAGCCAGGTGCGGTGGTTCATGCCTATAGTTCCAGTACTTTGGGTGGCCAAGGGTTGAGGCTAGTTCAAGGCCAGCCTGGCAAACATAGCAAGACCCCGTCTCTAAATAAATAAATACAATGAGTCAGGTTAGTGCCTGTGGTCCTAGCTACTTCGGAGGAGGATGACGTAGGAGAATCACTTGATCCCAGGAGTTGAGGCTGCAGTGAGCTATGATTGCACCACTGTACTCCAGCCTGAGCGACAGAGAATGACTCTGCCTCTAAAAAAATAATAAATAACAAAGGACACATGTAAGGAAGACGGAGTTTAGGGGGAAACATAAAAGATCAAGAGAGGGAGGTAATCCCAGAAGATGCAGATAGAAATAAATTACAATGCATTTCTTTAATCGTGGTTTTGCCTCAAACGAAACACACCATTCTTTGTTAAAGAAAATTACAGCCCTATCGCCCTCTACTGGAACGAGGCTGGAAAATACAGAGAAATAGCTTGAAGTTAACTCTTAATGGAATCTGTTCACACTGAAGTCCATTGCTGCTATTATCCAGATGCTAAAGTGTAAACCTCAGGTGTTTCTGGTAAGGTATGAGGGATACAGCTCCCTTTGTGTACCCAGGCTGATAGGTTAACCTGAACAACCTCGCGCTGAACAGAGTGGCCAGTCCTTCCCACACGCACCTTCCATTTGCAGCCGTCACTGATTGCCAGGACCAGTAACAGGCTGTGATTTGCTCAAAGTCCCAGCAAGTCGACCCCATCACTGCTGCTCCACACCTGCACCACCTGCATTCCACAGAAAACCGCTGTGCAGAATCCTCCCCTTGCCTATCAATCCCACCTCCAGACCTACTCAGCTCTATCTCAGAAAAGTCTCACTCTGCTCTTGGGAGCTACAGTAGGGCTGGACACAGTGAATGCCAACCCACCAACTCCAGAGTACATCACTCTGTGATCTCAGATGGTGTCAAACGTCACCCTATCAATACCACAAAGCAGTGGTGCCCAAATGTTTTGATCATGCACCCAAATCAGAAAAAACAATGTAATGCACTAATAAATGTATATTTATTTATAAATAATAGAAGTGTACAATTGTACAATATATTATGTACATTATAAAACACACAAAAATAGAAATTTAAAAGGATGAGATTAAATACAAATAATCATTTTAATACTTCGTCAATGGATTGATCATCTCCACGCCCCTGGGATGTATACACCCCCACCTGAAACAATAGCCCTAAGGAATGTCAATGATTGTTATTTGGGTTTTCAGCTCAGGTTACAGAAATATGTACAAGATCACATCTTTTAAGTTTTGCAAAATAGCCCTAGCATCAAGTTTAAATGGATGAGAATGCTTGGTGCTAACTTCTTGAGACATATTTGGACTGGTCACTACACAGCTGGTAAAATGTCATGTTATGGTTCACCAATAGTTATTTCACTTTAAGGCAGTCTAAATAGGGGATTTCATGGAGTTAAATCAGGTTATTTGTGGGAAAGTTGTTTTAAAAAAACATTTTAAAGCAAAGGATCATGATTTGCTTTTTTTTTTTTTTTTTTTCCAAAAACACCCAACTGGCTGGGCGCAGTGGCTCATGCATGTAATCCCAGCACTTTGGGAGGCTGAGGAGGGCTGATCACTTGAGGCCAGGAGTTTGAGACCAGCCTGGACAACATGGCAAAATCCCGTCTCTACTAAACATAAAATTAGCTGGTGTGGTGGCATGCACCTGTAGTCCCAGCTACTCAGGAGGCTGAGGCAGAAGAATCGCTTGAAGCTGGGAGGCGGAGGTTGCAGTGAGCTGAGATTGCACAACTGCACTCCTCCAGCCTGGACGACAGAGCGAGACTCCATCTCAAGAAGAAAAAGAGAGAGAGAAAATAAAAGGCCAGCAAATTAAATAGCCAGCCCCTAAAGAAATAATTCTTCTGCCTACAGTAGACAAAAAAAAAAGGGGCATTCCAAACAATGGCCAAGGCAAAGGGATTTAAATGGATTGCCACTCATCTACCTGATCTAACACCAGCAAGTGAGTTCTTAACTTTTTTTTTTTTTTTTTTTTTGATAGCTCTAGTATCCAATCACAGAGCCTGGCACATAGAAACTCAGTAAATATGTGATGAATGACAACTCCTCCAACATTATGTAAGGTGCTGAATTACATTTGAAATAAGAATTGTGACTACAGAACACTAGTATATGGTTTGGATTGGCTGAAGCAAACTGAACAAAGCTTGTGGTCAAAAATAACATGCCTAGAGAGCCTTATTATATCTCTCCCTCCCTGTTTCAGCATCAGTTGTTTGACATCTACGCCCCCCTGCTTCCACCAGAGCCTAAGCTTCCCCGCACACAGTGGGACAGTACAGCTGGACAGGCCTGTCCTTTTCCAGCCCTCAGTGCAAGCTGGGAGAAGCAGAGCAGAAGGTATTTTCTACACAGAGAACTTCACTCAATGTGCTCCCTAACTTAAAAAAAAAAAAAAATTTTTCATGAAAAATGTTTAAACAATTCAAAAAGGACATGAACATCTAACTCTGAGACTGACATATTAACACCTCAGGGCCTCAATCAAATATTATAATGCTAAAAATCACAACTGCTACACTTTTAATTGTGGTAACTAAGTCTCCTCATGAACAGCTGTATTTTAATAGGTACTTTACCAATTAGAGAAAAATATCACATAATTTAAGTAACTTTCAATTTCACTTCCTATACACTGTATCATCTATAGGCTCATCAACTGTTGACAACGTGTCAGTTTTTTTATAGGAAGAACACTGAAACTTCACTCAAGTTTCCATCAGATTAAATGCAAACTAGGATACATAGTTTGCTATTCTCATTCCAGAGGAAAAACAAAGGGATGTGGATTTCAGCGACTTGCTGGACAGATAAGAACTATCAACTGAAGGCTCAGTTCTTTCACTACTGCCATATGGAAAGAGGTTACCTAAAGTACTCACTAGAGGAAATTTTATTTTACTTAGTTGAGAAGTACATACACATCACACACAGAGAAAAGGAAAACCAACTATTGGAATTTTCTGGTGATGGTGGTTTTTTAAGCACTGTGGTGAGTTACTAGGTTACCCTCCTCTCCAGAATCTTAAACCCAGAGAGAAGCCAGCTGTGTGAATGAACTTACAAAGCCTCTTTAAGGCAAAGTAGCCACTAGAAAAAACATACTTTTCTTGAAATCTTTCAAGAAAACTAGGAAATATGCATTCTACACATTGTTGTATCTTGTCTGCTCTGTTTCCTTGCCTTTGTGCCACACCTGTTTTCTCTAATCCCTCCTTTCACTTGACACCAGCTGGCTCACCCCCTGCCACCACACTTAAGTAATCAGTAGCTGCCTCAAGACACTAGTGCTTCACAGCAGAACCTGATTTGAAAATTAAACCCACCCTCTTACTTGTTCAATGAAGTAAATGAAAAAAATCCTCAGTGACACTGACTCCTGCCTGCCAAGAAAGGGTCTCACTAAACTGGTGATTGAGGTTACAGTGAAAAAAACTGCTTTGACCATTTGATAGAAAATATTACATCCTAAATTTAGAACCAAAAAAACCATTCATGGTTTTGGTAATTTTCAATTTTTATTTCCAACTACTGCAGTAATAAGATAGCAGTGGTAATTCTGCACTGAAAGTGGCAACCTTTTAAGTAAACAAGGTTGCAAATTGTAGTATTCCAACAATATTTTGACCTATGGAAATTTTGATGGGAAAGGATTATTATAATCAGTTTTATAATACTACAGACTTATGCTTCCTCCACATCTAGGAATAAAAATATCCACCCTCCCTCAGTGATTCATCATGTATACATCTCTACTCTTTACAAGCACTATCTTTCCAGTTGTACTACAAGGGGAAATCCCTCTTACTCCTGGGTTTTCCTATACTATACAGAAATAGCAGTCACTTTAGCAGTAATGTACAATACTATTCAATTTTTAGTTGAAAAATAAAGAAGTGGATTGCCCTATTTATGCCCTGACAGTAAAAAGACACACACCATTGAAACATAAAACGAGTCAACAAACTTCTATTTTTATTGACAGGAGTCCAAAATGAATACAAAAAAAGCTTCCTTTGCATGTTATACTTACTTTCCTTAAAAAGCTCCTGATAGAGTCAGGTAGACTGAAAACTAAGGATGTAGTTCAGCTTTTAAAGTGAACCTTTTTAATAAAAGGTTTAATAACATAAGCCACCAATATCAGAAAACATACGGTCCCACTATCACTTTAGAGCTACAGCTTATCAAAAGAATTAGATCCTGCACTGATCTGCTAAGATACAGGTTTAGAAATGTTTTAAGCCATTAAAAGCCATTTTTATAATCTGTCCGATAACTGGACAATTAAGAAAAGAAAAATTCCAAAATGTAGCCCTCTATATCATGTGGAATGTGAGAGAATGCCGACTTATGACCAAGATAAGTAAAAATAAAAGTTTAAATCTATGAATGGAGCTGTTACAGTCTTGTATCACTGCAAAATGTCAATAATAGAGCTTATCAAGAGATTATAAACTTGAGCAATGTTACTTAAAACATATTTGTGGTGTTTGCTAAAACTAAAGCTGAACAAAGAAAAGTCGCTCATTTATAGACTGTGTTTCCTGCATCTTTGCTTTTACTGGGACCATAGACTGATAATACATAGCCCACACTTCTGGACAGTTATAATAACAAAGGATTTATTATCATTTGCAGATGAAATAAATGCACCATCCCATACTTGAAAGGTTTCAATAAGCCTTAACATTTTTCAGGTTGTACCAAGGCACCATTGCCTATTTATATTATGCACCCATTTCTAGAGTTAAAAAAAACTACACCTCCCTCAACATCAGTTCTGTACTGTCTCTGGTTTATTATACACTTCCAAAACAGCAAAAAATTGCAAATATGTGCAAACACTGTGGTCCGTTCAGAGTACTGCTTAGTCGTCATCTTCCTCTTCCTCCTCTTCTTCCTCAAAGCTATCTTCAAAGCCCTCACTGTCCTCCTGGTCTTCATCCCCTTCTATTGCTGTATCCCACTGTGGGTGATTTTCTGGCACAGGCTTAGCCTCATGGACTTCCAACTAGAAAGAAGAATTAAATGTAGACATCAGAAATTTGGGGAGAAATAATGGAAGAAATCTTGGTAAACAAAAGGTTTTCTTTGCCCATAGCAATTATAAAGAAATAGATTTCTATGGATACAATTCTAAATTCAACTCATTCATTTAGAATAGACACTTCATCCCAGAAATAAAACAAGTAAATCTAACCATAGGTAAATGTAGTCAAATTTCTAATACAGTTTGATATTTTGATTCTATATGTTACACTACTTATGAATGTATTTCTGTGGCATAAAACAATTGTGATTCTTGAGCAAGAACACTGAGTCATATTTTAACAGAAGCCTTCTGCTTTAAGGAAGAAAAATCTGAGATATTTTGCAGTCGCTAGACTTGTGACGTAAAATTCTACAGTTAATAAAAGAAATATGGAACCCTCATGGAAAAAAAGGTTTGCCTTTACTGGCTACTTTTACCCTTTACAATGCAATAATACTTTTAGCACCATCTCTCTAATATAATAGGACACCTTTTATAAAAAGTTCAAGTGAATTGGTAAACAAAGATGAAAGTGTGCTGCAAATGATACTTACAGAAGTGTATGCTGTAAGATGACAAAAATAAATTAGTTTCAGAAATTAATAAACACTCCAAATAGAATCTGTGGTTTAAAAAAAAAAAAAAAAAAAGTGCCTTTCTAAAGAAAAAAGAACCCATTTGCTGAGGCCTTATAAAGTTACAACACATTAAATGTATCCCTAAAGTAATTTATATTCAATGTTCTAAATTGTTATACTCCTTAAAACCTAAAACTTTATTATTGAAAGACTAGTCCATCAAGTATATCACATATAAAGCAAGAGATGATTTCTTTTTCCTTCCATAACTCTACATTTCAAAACTAGAATTGTTTTCGTAGTATATTAAACATGTATACAGAAAACTCTTAATTACTGAAAAGTCACTATTCTTACCTTCAATGGTTTAATCTGATCCAAACCCATATAGGAGTCTGATCTCAGAAACACAGTATACTGATAATTTCCAGGTTTGCCTGGTGCAGGAAACTTCAGCTCTACCTAGAAGATAAAATCAGAACTTAAATATCTGTATTATGGGGAGGAAACAGCTCACTCCCTAAAATTCCTAGACCACAGTATTTAACAGCCAGGTTTTTTCTGCAGATGATACAGAAAGCCCAAACAAATGTTACTGAAGTTCTTATAAACAATAATAAAGAAAAGTGAAATGTATTACATATTATAAATACCTCACAAAGAGGAGATCAAATTATGCAGAACTGATGAGGTTAATTTGTATCTCCACAATTTAAGAAAAAAGTACTTAAAGCAACCAAATTCTATGCTATCACCTTGAAGAAATTAAGTAGGTATAAAAGCATAAGTGAAATGTTGGAATTAAACAACAGACTTCACTAGATAGGAGATACTTCTTGCCAAATTTTCTTATTTCTAGAATAAATGCCCAATGCCAAAGGTCAAGAAGGTATTTTACTTACCATCAAATCATAAACTTCAAATACAAATAACAAACCTTAAAAAAGTTTCTATTCCACTTGGACAAAAGAAGAACAATTTTTTTTAAATGACATTTGTAAGCGCTGGTGATCTGCCTCTAATCTCCAAAATCCAGATTTTATAGTCAAGATTAAATATTAAAATATGCCAGTTTTAAAAAAAACTAGAAAAAATCATGAAGGAATCTTTTTTTAAAAATTAATCTCAGTTTGGCCTAACTATAACACAAACCTAGAAATTATTAAAAAAAAAAAAAAAACTCTTTAAATCATACTACAAAAAATAAATAAGAAAATGGATAAACAAATAGGTATTTATATTTCTGCCTGGTAGAAACAACCAGAATAGTAAAACAAACTGGGGATAAATATTTGTAACACATATCACAAAGGGCTGATTTCTTAACATTAAAAAAAAAAAATCCCAATTTTTTAAGACTCAAGAAAAGTGAACAATGGCCAGACACATTAAAAAGATGACTCAAACACACTGAAAGTTAAGTTTCACTCTTCAGAGAAATAAAAACTACACTGAATAGAATAAGCAGAGTAAAAATTGATTCAGACAAGAATCATCAATATATGCTTAAAATGACTGGCTAAAACAATGTTGGAGAATAGGACATTCACACAGGGCCCAAATATCACCCCACAGATTAGAGGGGGAGAAAAATACCTTTACAATAGAGAAAAACCATAGCTAAATGAGCAACCTTAATTAATATCACCAACATAGGGCAGAGGCATATACTGTACCTCTAACATAATGCAGTAAGAAGTACATCACCAACATAGCTTGCTTGCCAAAAACACGAAGATGAATAAAGAGTAACCAACAAGACAAAGTCATATTAAGTGATATTGTACAAAACACTTTGCCTGGATTCTTGAAAAATGTCAGCGGCATGCAAAGATTAAAAAAGAACAAGGACAAGAAAGCATTCAACACTAAAGAGGCATGACAACCAAATACAATGTAAAAAGGTCTTTTTTTCTTTCTTTCGAGACAGGTCACTCTGTTGCCCAGGCTGAAGTACAGGGGCATGATCATGGCTCATTGCAGCTTCAACCTCATGGGCTCAAGTGATTCTCCTGCCTCAGCCTCCTGAGTTAGGCTGGGACTACAGGCACGAGTTGCCACATCCAGCTACAATGTGTGATCCTTGATTAGATCCTGAGTTTAAAAATAAAACCAAAAACTGTAACAGACATTAGTGGAATTGTTGAGGAAATTTGAATACAGACTGCATATTAGATAATTATGCCATACCAATGTTAAATTTCCTGAGTATAATCATTGTAGTGGGCCTATGGAGAAGGTCCTGGTTTTTGTTTTTGTTTTTTAAGAGACAGGGCCTCACCATGTTGCCCAGACTGCTCCTGAATTCCTGGGCTCAAGTGATCTGGCCACCTTGGCCTCCCAAAGTGCTGGAATTACAGGTGTGAGCCACCACACCCAGCCCAAGGCCCTGGTTCTTAAGGGATACATGTCAAGTAGTTAGGGGTAGCATGTTATAGTATCTACAAGTACCTCAAATGGTTCAGGGGAAAACACACACACATGTGCATGTTTTGTATGTACACATACAGTGAGAGAAAGATAAAACAAGTAACAGCTAAATGTAAACAACTGGTGAAGATAGGTGGGGATCTAGGGAGGTTTCATGATACTGTGCTTGTAACTTTTCAATAGGTTTTAAAACTTAAAAGATCAGAGAGGCCCGGCACAGTGGCTCATGCCTGTAATCCCAGCACTTTGGGAGGCCAAAGCAGGCGGATCTCTTGAGCTCAGGAGTTTGAAACCAGCCTGGGCAACATGGGTAAACCCCGTCTCTACAAAAAATACAAAAATTAGCCAGGCACGGTGGTGCATGTATGTAGTACCAGTTACTTGGGAGGCTGAGGTGGGAGAGCCTGGGAGGCGGAGGTTGCAGTAAGCCAAGATTGTGTCACTGCACTCCAGCCTAGGTGACATAGCCAGACCCTGTCTCAAAAAAATGATCAGAGGAAAAAATTAAAAAAAAAAAAAAACCCCAAAGATCTAAGATGCTATTTTTCACCTTTCCAACTAGCAATGATATTCAAAATGTATGACATGCTGAGAGGCATTAGGCATATTTAGACATTCATTCTTTTTATAGAGAAATAAAATATCTAGCAATATAGGTCAAAATTACAAACATACAGAACCTCTAGCCCATCAATTCAACCTCTATAAATTTATTATTAACCTATTTCATGCATTTACCACTTGATTACAAAGGGTTAAAAAATATGTACTAAAAATCAACATCATAGGGCTATCTTGAAAAGCTTTTGTCCACCAAGTACAGGCAGACAGAACCTTCTTCCTACAAAAAAAAAAAAAATCAAGAAAAACAACAACAAAAATGCAGTTCCCAAAGGTAAGTATGTTCATCACAATGTTACTTCACTGATGTCATTAACAGTGAACAATATCACGTAATCAAAAATTCCACTCAAAAAATCCACATCATCAGTTCTTATATTTTTTTAAGACAAAAGATCTAATACTTAACACTAATCCAATAAGAACAAAAATCCTATTACTAAATTCTGGAGAGGAGGAGGAAAGGCATATGTTCTTAGACACTAACAGTGAAAACTCCCAAAACAAGCTAAGAACAAGTTTTTAAAACATTGACTAAGTTGCCTACCTTTAACAATTATTTATAAATTTCCAACGAGCTCACCCCCAAAACATCAGAGAACAGTTACAAAATGCAGGCAACGAACAGAATACAATATGCTAAATATGATAAACTGCTTTTTTAAAAAAAGATATATGAAGATATATGAAGCAGCATGATAGTGACAGCTGTGCCTTTTTAAATACTGAAATCATGTTGTGTGATAGTTACCTCCTCTGTATCTTTCAGTGTACACACATGATATGGCATAGATATTAATGTCTGCTCCTTCCTATCTGCAATGTAAAGCCACCACCATTCTTGTTTTTCCTGGAAAGAAAAGAAGAAGAAGAGTATAAATAATTGGAAAGAACTAGAGAGAACATAATTTTGGCCTCTCTTATCTTAGAGATTCTCTGCACTGACAAAGTGCTTGGTACAAAATAGGTGTTCAAATGAATGTTTACTGAAAGAATAAGCTGTTCTTAACATTTGCAGAGCCATTGCCTAAAAACATTCCGTATCCAATTTTGGTGATTTCAATAGCTCCTTGAAACCTATTGATTGGCCTTCATATTAAAAACCTCATGACTAACCTTAAGGAACAAGCATTATTCTAAATATATACAACTATTACAACAGCATGTAGCAAATAATCTTAGTAATCTTACCTAGTAATAAGAAAAAGCCACAAAGTAGGAGTGGAAGGAACTTGGGCAGCCAAATCAAAAATCAATACATTAAATACTTTATACACTTTTAAGAGGATATTTCAGATTGTAAGAGTCTATTTATACTTTCCACTGGCCCATGATTGTACTAAACTTGGCATTTCTAGCTGAACTCCAAAAAAATTAGGAACAGAAAAAAGAGCTGGGTTTAAAAAAAAAAAAAAAAATTCACCAGAATATCAGAATGTACACAATGACAGCAGGGAAAAATCAGAGAACAAGAGACAGAAAAGTATTAAATATATACATAAATTTTAGGCAGGGTTCAATGGCTCACGCCTGCAATCCCAGCACTTTGGGAGGCCGAGACAGATGGATCATGAGGTAAGGAGATCGAGACCATCCTGGCTAACACAGTGAAACCCCGTCACTACTGAAAATACAAAAAATTAGCCAGGCATGGTAGCAGGCGCCTGTAGTCCCAGCTACTCGGGAGGCTGAGGCAGGAGAATGGCGTGAACCCGGGAGACGGAGCTTGCAGTGAGCCCAGATCGCGCCACTGCACTCCAGCCTGGGCACAGAGCAAGACTCTGTCTCAAAAAAAAAAAAATATATATATATATATATATGTATGTATGTATGTATGTATGTATTTTAGAAAGCCAAGTCTAAAAGCACCAAACCTCTGTGCATTCAGCAACAACTGCTCTATTACAGCACACTTCAGTTAACTATTTAGTCATCTGCTTAGTAACACCTGTTTAAGAGGTGGGTAGGGAAGTATCTTTCTAAAACGGTTTAAAGAAAAATGTTTTACAGCTTAAAATAAACTCTAGGATGTTCTAAATATTTATTTAACCAAAATAGTACTAGACTATTCTAAATTCTCAATTGTCTGAAATGGGTTAAAATATCATCTTACTGAAACAGTTTCTTTGAGAAAACGTGGGTTTTTTTTGTTTTGTTTTTTGTTGAGACAGGGCCTCACTCTGTCACCCAGGCTGGAGTGCAGTGGCACTATCTCAGCTCACCTCACTGCAACCTCTGCCTGTGGGGCTCAAGTGATCCTCCCACCTCAGCTTCCCAAGTAGCTGAGACTACAGGCATGCACTACAACGTCTGGCTAATTTTTGTATTTTTTGTAGAAACAGGATTTCATTTATTTTGCCCAGGCTGTCTTGAACTCCTGGGCTCAAGCAATCCTCCCACTTAGGCCTCCCATAAGTGCTAGGATTACAGGCATGAGCCACCACACCTGGCCCATAGTTATGTTTTTCAACTAAAATTGCTGCACTTTCTATTTTAACTATAAAAATAGATTAAAATTTGGTTTATCTTTCAAACACTACTATACTAAGCACAACTAAAAACTCTTCTGTTTAAATACCTTAGGAGAT